GGGTTTTCTCCCGCGTAAGATTCGAATCTTACGCGGGAGAAAACCCGAACAACCAAAGATCCATATATATATATACACACACATACATACATACATAATATTGCAACACTGATATGTGCCTAAATCATCCTGAAATATCCTGTTAAAAATTATATTCTAAAAGGAACACTCATTATAAGAACATAGTAATTTCATTAAATTATAAATTATTCAATAGGTTTTCAATAGATGCATAACACTTGTTAGATGAAGAACATTTCTAATTTCTATTGTAGAAATGCCACTGAACTTGGCTATTATCTGTATATTATAATGTATTATATTTTATAGCGCGATAAAACAATTAACTTGGGAAAAACTATTACATTATGAGAAAATTAAAATGAAGTATGATACTAGTATAATTAAAATGCTATATCACATTAATAGTGATCATCAAAACAAACACCCTCCCACAACATATAGCTTCCATATAAAAGCATATTTAAGGAGTCAGTATCAATTGTAACCAGCTACAGTTTGAGCCAGAATATTTCACAATATAAAGCTAAACATGGTTATAATTGCAACGATAAGATAGTCATATCTTATTTGCATAATATTTTGATATCATATCAAAATAGTCAAGATAGTCATATCTTATTTGCATATCATATTTTGCATAATATGAAAAAAAAATCACTTCCATTAACTGCAGTCTTAGGAAAAGTATAAACAAGTATTTGGATACAAGAGATATAACTGGATCTAAGTGATTTAGTTTAGTAAAATTGTTCTTTTTCTCTGGACTGTGTGTATAAAGACACATCTCACTAATAGATATTTAAACTACATACATGGTGATATATCTGCCTTGCAAAATGTTCATATTTCTTCTAACCTTTTAATGTTTATAGTTACTATAAGAAAGTCCAAGGAAGAAGCAACCTAGAACTAAGGAGAAATTTCCTGACAGTTAGAACAATGAATCTGTGGAACAATATGCCTCCAGAAGTTGTGAATGCTCCAACACTTGAAATTTTTAAGAAGAGATTGGACCATTTGTCTGAAGTAGTGTAGGATTTCCTGCCCTAGTATAGGGTTGGACTAGAAGACCCACAAGCTGCCTTCCAATTCTGTTCTTCTATTATATATGCTGGCATTATTGAGCAACTAACAGGCAAACGGGAAAAGCAACACATCAGTGGTTACAGGAAACACAGACATGCAAAGAATAATGGGAGTGCCAAATGAATTCAGAATAAACCATCTCCACTGACATTTCCAAACAATAGTGAACAATGCTTATCAGCACAATAGAGGTATAGAATTAAGTATGTTAATTGTTATGACAATTAATGTTTGGCTGAAAAGTTCTGCCTTGAGAAGGTGTAGGGATGGATTTCTTTAGCCTATCAAATGTCTATGGAGATTCTTAGTCATCCAGGTCATGGTTGTCCCAAAGGTGCTTTTTCCAGAGGCAACTGGACTTTGTTTTCTTTGAAGAGATTTCACTTCTCATCCAAGAAACTTCTTCAAGCTTCTTCACTGAATGGTGAGGAATGGAAGGATTTATACTCCTCCTAGCAGATAGCTGGCCATCTGCATCCTTTTAGGGAATCTAGGTGGCCTTAATGACTCTCTAAAAAGAATGCAAATGTCCAGCTTTCTGCAAGGAGTTGTCTGCAAGGAGTTGTCTGCAAGGAGTATAAATCCTTCATTCCCCACCATCCAGTCAGAGGTGAAGAAGGTCCTTGGATGAGAAATGAAATGTCTTTAAAAAAAAAAAAAAAACCAACAAAGTCCAGTTGCCTCTTGAAAAAGCACCTTTGGGACCACCAGGTCTTGGATGACTGAGAATCTCCACAGATATTCAGGGAATGTACTTAGGCAGGCAGCCTCTTCCTCGGCTCCCACTTGCAGCTGAAAACCATCCTGCGACTCTGTAAACCGCTTAGAGCGGGCTGTCAAAAGTACCGTGAAGCGGCATATAGTGCTCTTGCTATCGCGTGGGGCTTGCCATTCATACATCAAGGTTCGCTCTTGACCGAGCAACGAAGGCAAAACAGGGCACCCCGGGCAAAAAAAAGGAAAAAAATCCCTCCCCCCTCCCCCACCTCAGGAGGGAAGCCTGCAAACATCGCACCAGCGCCCTGGCCACCTTGAGGAAAGAAGCTCCCCACCAACAGGTCACGCACCCGACTCACCACGACTTTCACCAGCGCCGCCATCTCCCTGGCGGGACGCGCTTCCGTTTCCGCGGGAACGTCCAAGCTCTTCCGTTTCTCCGCCACTTGCCGGGTATAAGGGAGAAGAAGAAGAAGGAGGCGCGAACCGAAGCGCGATTTCCACGGAGATGCTTCTAGAACGGCTGCCTTCGGCCGAGCCCTGAAGGGAGCCGAGCTAACAATCGCCGCGTTCTCCTCAGCCCCCTGGAAACCTCGGCAACTTTAAGCCTGGAGGACTTCAACTCCCAGAATTCTTTGCTGGCTGGGGAATTCTGGGAGTTGAAGCCCTCCAGGCTTAAAGTTGCCGAAGTTGGAGACCCCTGACCTGGAGACCAGCGGGGCGGGGAAGATCATTCCTCCTCATCTATCCGTGGCGCGTTAGATAAGCTTGCCGGTGCCTGCGGATGTAAATCGTGCCGCCATTCGCGGTCGTGGGGAAACTGGAGGAGAGAGCCGTGCGGGGGCGGGGGATCGGTAAAGGAGAATGGGGGGAGGGCTACTCTGAAGTGCCTTGTGCTCCTCTGGCATGAAGCCTCCAGGAGCAGAAGTGGCAAAAACATTCCTAAAGAAATCTCCATAGATGTTCCTAAAAGAATGTGCAGAATACAGGTAGTCCTTGATTTACAACAGTTCATTTATTTGTTTAAAGTTCCAAGGGCACTGAGAGCAGTGAACTTATGACCATTTTTCACACCATTTTTCACACCCCATGATCATGTGATCAAAATTCAGATGCTCAGCAGCTGGTTCAGATTTATGACCACTGCTGTGACCCAAGGTCATGGGATCCCCATCTGACAAAGTCAATTCACTTAACAGCCAAGTTACTAACATCAACTGCAGTGATTCCCTTATAACAAATGAGGCAAGAAAGGTCATAAAATGGGGCAAAACTCATTTAACAAATATCTCACTTAACAGAAATTTGGGGCACAATTGTGATTGTAAGTCGAGGACTATACTTATTTTCCCTTATGAGCCTAATAAATAAGTCTCCCCTGGATGCAATAAAAGCCTGGCGCCCCTTAGATGCGTCATTGTTTAACTTGGTCTTTCTTTGGTGGTCTTGAGAGCATTGTGATACAGAATGGGTTCTTGGTGAGGTGTTGCTCTTTCATCTTCACTTCAATCTTTGAGGCTGCTATAAAAGGTCAAGGAATAAATGCATTGAAGAAAAGTGAGAAAATTCTAAATGGAATCAAGATCTACTTGGAAGATTGCTACAATAGGCACATCTGCTGCTGCTGTAGATATCCTAAATGTCAACAGTTTGTTTTAGTGACTGTTTGAAGTTATAGTGGCACTGAAAAAAATGACTTATGACTGCTTTTCACACTTAACTGTTGTAACATCTCCAGCAGATGTTAAGATAGCAACTGCAATACATGCACAAAAAGACAAGACTTTAATTACATAGTTGTAATTGCCATCTTGACTTTTTTGCTCTATGGATACCATTGGTTCATAGAATTATATGCTTGGAATGTACCACTAAGATCATCTGGACCAACATTCTTCAATTATACTTATTCCCAGGAAAGGGTATAGCTGCAGCACAATTACAACCAGAATCAGATGGTTTTTACCACATTTGAAACTTTACAGCAGTGCTGAAAAAAGATAATCTCTTCACCTTTACACCCCCATTTTCACTTATAATGTTCCCAAAATGAGTTTTGCAAATCTCTTCTAAACAAGTTATCCCTAGGAAAATGTTACAATTTGTCCTTATGCTACTTACACTCACAGATTGCTGTGTTCTTACTGTTGCTCAAGCAAGATTTAAAAACAATATTCAGTCCTACATTATAGATTTTGCCATTAATTTTCTGCAGAAACATACTTGTTTCCAGGATCAAGAGGACTGATAAAATGGGTATTAATCATATCCTGAAAAAGGGAGAAATAAGGAATGAAACTATCGGTGCTGTTCAAAATAACTATTGATTTCAGTTACTTAGGCTGGGATTGTTCTCCAGCAACATTTTGGAGTTATGCTTTGAAAAACAGATAATATTAATGGTTCAGTGAGTAAAAGTAAGTGATCAAGGTCTAGAAGACAACTTCTTCCACTGAATATGCTGTATACCTGTCTTGGAAACAAGGTTGGGGGTTTGGAGAAATTGTTGGTTTGGAGAATTTAAGGAGATAGGAAGAAGTTTTTGGTATTTTGGGAAAATTTTGGTTTTGGAGAAAAGTTTCTATATTCTTAAGAACTCAGAATGTAGATATCAATAAGCTTAACTTGAGAAAAATAGTAAACAAAATGTACCTACTTGGTAATCTATAACTTGATGTTTCATGCAGAAAAATATTTCGGCTATATCCTACAATCCTACTGAAAAAAATGATTTGCAATCGGCTCTCATGCTTATGGAGCACACCTATGGGTCACATGATTGTGATTTGTGTACTTGATAACTATTGTATGTTTATGATAATCACAGAGTTTTGTAGTCATATGTCTTTCTTAACCACTAGGTGATTTGCTTAATGAATGCAATTGAAACTGCTGTCACTAAGTAGGGTGGAGTTGCCAGTTCCAGTTAGGATAATTAAGTTATGACTCTCTGTAGTTGGAAAATTGAACCAATAGAAAAAGTGGCAGCTGCATTCTGCATCATTTTTTTAAAAAAAGTCATTAAAATTAGTTGTCTTTGGAAACAAACTAATCTTTTTGTTTGATGTAGCAGTATACAGAAGGAACCTTTGCAGTCAGGAAATAAGCTTGTGGAACAGCAGAGCCTCAAGTGACCAAGTTTAAGGACAGACCAAAAGGTTCTCATATAGCAAATAATGTCCCTGATATCCAGTTTAGAAAAAGAATCAGATGGTAGAGATCTGTCTCAGAGACATACTGCTGGATCAAATCAACAATATTGGGAAATAAATTTATTTATTATAAAACATCCTCCAATGCCTATTTACAATGGTCAAAGATTTGTGGTTTAATTCAGGTCTGGACACACTTAACCCTTTCTAGTTTCTTGAGCTACAATTCCCAGAATCATCAATCCTGAAGAAAATGCAACTAATTTTTTGCAACTGAATGGAAAAGTATGCCAACTTGTTCATTATCTTATCCAAATCCTTAGGGATGACTCTACTCTATTATACATTTTGTTCTGGGGAATTCTAATATTTACACATGCTTATAAGCCTGAGCACACACTGTCAGAACCATTCACTATAATGGTTTATCTGACTGCAACACAACTATTTAAAACAAACTGGAGGTAAGTGATTATAGAAGCCTATTCAGTGGCAGACAAACTTCTGCATTCCATCTAAAATAACTTGTTTTGATCATATGATGTACAATACAAACTTTAGGCTAAAGTACCATCTAGGAGGAAACATGTTTCAGATTTTGGCATTCTCCTGCTAGTATGCAAGTGCAATTAAAACGATCCTGGAAATACAGAATACAGTACCTTATTCAAAGCTTGTTGTATGAGCTGAACTCCCTTCATTGATAGGTTTCCAAAACACACAGCTGCAATAATCTTTATCCAGGGCAAGGAATAAATTAAATCTGAACACCTCCTTTACATATAGTGTGTACAGTGTGCAGAGATGTACGCTGTATAACCTCTTATTGGTAATGGAAAGCTAAAGCTGGCAGGAATAGAAAAGCAGCCCAACCAGCAAAAGTTTTCTCCTTTCAACAGCACTCAGATGAGAAGCAATGTGTGATTAAGTAGCTGAATTACTCTGATGCCTGTTGCTGTAACAATGTCTGCTGAAGTCGTCAAACTTTCCAGTTAGGCATCATGCCAAAACATATTCAGAAATTGACAGGGAGGGATGAAATGGCCAGAATATCATGCTGGGCAGGTAGCAGCAAACAGAGCCTCCACAGATGATCAGCTAAAATAAATAAATGTGCTATTCAACAGGAGCAGTAGGAACCATTCGACTGAAAGTCAAGAAAAATTTTCCACTTCTTCCTGTGATATTTTCTTTATCCTTCTATGTCCACTCCTGAGATGGAAATTTGAGGACAGATGCTTTCCAAATAATTTAGTAAAATATGTAGTAGTGACCTCTGCCCAGATACATTTTTGTTTTATCATTCCCAGTTGCATTGACCAGAGAAACAAGACAAAAGAATCTTAAAAAACAAAGATATCAACATTCTTAAAGTATATAGCATGATTTAATCAAATTTAATCACACATATCCAAATTTATAGAGAAAGTAGTTCAAAATCTCAGTGAAGAAAGTGCACTGCATACTTAAAAATGCAAAGCAATAGGAATTGCTTCTCATTTATTAATAGGAAACATCTGTAATTCAGGATAAAGCTTAGTTTAACCCCAACATTCAGTTTTAGCTATTGCTACTCAAATCATTTAGTTATCTACTATTAGACATAGTAGACCACTACATATACCTTGGCCAATGGATCCAATGGAAGGCGATACAATAAAGGAAATTACATGGCACGTTAAATGTGGTTGGCAGACATAGATAGATAGATAGATAGATAGATAGATAGATAGATAGATAGATAGATAGATAGAATTCTTTATTGGCCAAGTGTGATTGGACACACAAGGAATGTGTCTTGGTGCAAATGCTCTCAGTATACATAAAAGAAAAGATACATTCATCAAGAGTCAAGAATCATAAGGTACAACCCTTAATGATAGTCATAGGGTACAATAAGCAATCAAATCAGACATTCAGCAATCTAAGCATAATTTTGAAGAACAACCTTCCCTTATGCCTGAAGAGAAAAGTTTTTGATCAGTGTCTACTAAGCTCTTAACATATGCCATTAAAACATGAACACTAATCTCACAATCGATTCAAAAGTTATGAGTGGCTCAAAGAGCCATGGAAAGATACATGCTCGAATTACAAAACAAGACAGAAAGACTTGCACATGAATTAGAGAACAAACAAAAATATACTCTATCATCAAAAGAGTAAAAGAATTGAAATGGAAATGGGCTGGTCACATAGCAAGAAGTACTAATGGCAGGTGGACCAAAATAGTCATAGAATGGATCTCTCTTGATAAAAAAGCATTCATAAAAGAGACCTGAAACAAGGTGGATCAACGACATCAGCAAATATTATGGTTCCAATTGGCAGAAGAAATCTCAGGACCGTATAGGTTGGAAACATGCAGAAGAGGTCTTCATCCTGCAGTGGATAGACAATGGCTAAAACAATGATAATGATAGCTATGTCTAATCAATTAACTC